CACCACTGATGGCTAAATGGGAGTTCAAACAAGAGCCTGTGAACTAAGATGTGCAATAACATCTCAGCTAAGTCTACAGACTCAAAAAGAATTGTACCTGGGCCAGGGATATAGCTCAGTGGCACAGCACCTGCCTGGCAAGAGCAAGGTCCAGTCCTGAGTTCAATTCCTGGTATAAAAAAAATTATACCTTCCTGATAGTAAAGGTGCCAGCCTTTCTTGTATTATTATCCATTGCACCACCAAGTGTAGGACCTCTGTGCCCATTGCAAGAGTGCTCTGTTTCTCCTTACATGCCATGCCTGCAAAGTTTCTCTTTCTGTGCACTCTGCTGCAACCCCCACTCCACTGCAACCTCCCTGACCGGTACCAATAAAACCCATGAGCACTCTGACTCACGGCCTTTTGTTCCACAGAGATCATTGGGTCATCCCAAAGCCCCTTCAAATACAGATTTTTTTCTATCTTCTTTTTCATCTGCGTGTAATGTTGCCAGGTGAGAGGTTTTGGCAGTAGGAAGTAATTGGCTGCAGGACACAGAATGAATTAGTAGATTAGACACTGATCCTAGGAAAATGAGGCTGTTGTTGAAACCAGGGCATAGAAGTGAGAGCTGAAGGAAGAGAGTAGTAATAAAACCATTGTCCTTGGCAAATTCTATTTGGAAAAAGTACTGAGAGATGATGATGCACACACGTTTAAAATAACATATAAATATCCCCAGTAATATTCTCAACATATCATTTTCTGGCCTCTGAACCAACTCACTTGGCCCATAACAGACTCACGACTTACGACTGCCTGAGATTCAGTGTTGAACAGCTCTGCCTGACAGCTTTCTGACAATGAATCAAGGCAGAGAAGTTGTGGCACTTATTGTTTTGCCCACTTTTGTTATTTTTTAGATATATACTGTGTTGACATACATAGAGAACTTGGTACCCCTCTGATATGAGACTTGTTTTGTTGCTTTTTCATTTTGTTTTGTTTTGGGTACTGAGGATGGAACTCACAATCTCACACTTGCCAGGCAGGCACTGAGCTGATATCTCTGACCTGATACATGAAACTTCTGGGTAACACTTCAGATCCAAATTACAACAACTAGTAATACTGATCATCTTTTCATGTACTTGTGTATCTTCAGTGGAGAAATATCTATTTAAGGATTTTACCTATATTTGAATAAACTGAGAATTAAAGACAATTTTTGCAACTGTGGTAGTTAGCTGTTGTCAACTTGAGTAAGAAACACCCAATCGGTTGGCTTAGCTTAGTTCTGGCTGTGACCAGGTGAATTAACTCAAGTGGAAGTCGACCCTGAGTGTGAGCAGCATCAACCAATAGGATCACAGAATGAACAGAATAAAAAGAGGAACAAAGAAGGAAGTCTGGCTCTGTTTCTTTGGAGGAGCTCCAGGCTTCGCCACACCATGGACATCTGTCTTCTGGCTTCCAGCATAGATGTTTCCAGTCCTTCAGTGCAAGCCACTAGCACAGGACTCTACAGTGAGCTCTGGACCTTCGACTTTTGACTGGCTCCTTCAGAGCTCCAGCATGGAAATATAGGTGATAATAATCAGGATAGTGGTCATCTTTGAATAACCCTTTGACAAAGGACATGAAAGATCTTTTCTGGGATGTTAATGCTTTTTGATGCATGTGCTTGTTATAGAGGGGTGTTTGCTTTATAAACGTTTATTGCACTGTACATTTATAACTTGTGCACTGTTTTAGTTGTATATTATATTTCAATAAAGTTTACTTTAAAAGTACACTTAACTTGGAAAAGAGACTAATCATAATCTCCAAAGTGTGTGTGCAGATGGGAGGTTTTGAGGAAAACCAGGTGTTGCCCATACCTGAAATCCCAGCACTTGGGAGGCTGAGGTAGGACAACTGTGAATTCGAGGCCAGCCTGGACTACATAGACCCTGCCTCCAAAAACAAAAAGATTATAAACTTTTTTTCATAGAATGTGATTTAACGAAGAAATGTACAAACTTTCACGCCGTGACAGTTTCTGCGCTTGGTGCCACGGAGGGCATTGGTGAAGCGTGAAGTGTCAGGATTCTCACAAACGCCCCCAACTTGATGAACCTTAAAACCCTAGACATGGTATTCCACACTTTATTTCTATCTAACCTAGCTGCCTATAATACAAGGGCAAGTGCATGTGTTTTTCCAGGTCCCAGGCTGTTCTCTGGTTCATTGCCGCCTAAAAGCAGCAGCAAACCGAAGCTACTTCCTGGGCATTTTCTCATCCCAGAACTGGGCTCCCAGCTGGCCTGGACTCCGCTCTTATTTTTCCACTTTGCAGGCGCTGGCCAGTGCGCCGCCTGTGCACGGAGAGCAGAAGTCACACTCCCACCAGGGCTTCAGCGCCCAGGGCCCCTAGGGAAGACAAAGAGGCGGGAGACAGCAGGAAGCCCGCCCCTCCAACGGCGGTTAACGATCGCCCAGCCACCTGCGGCGGGCCCGGATTGGTTCACGACTCGCCCTGTCCCGCCCCATCGGCAGGTGCAGGTTTCCGAGCGCGGGAGTCTCCGGCCGGGCGCGAGGGAGCGCGCGCTCCTCCACCCGGCCGCGCCGCGGGCTGCTGTCAGGCACCCTAGCTGGGAGCAGGAGGCGTGGGGTTCCGGACTACGCTTCTTTCCGAAAGTCAGGGGGGCCCTTCTTGCAACGAGGGCGAACTGGGGAGAGGCGCGGAGGAAAGGGTAGACGCAGGGACAGCCCGCCCGGAGATGGAAATGGAGGAAGGCCCACACGGATCTCCCCCGCCCCTCGGCAGCAGCTCTGCGGACAGGGTGCGGCGGGAGAGTCCGCGCAGCCGCAGCAGGCACCGTGGGTCCCGACTCTTCGGCCCTTGGCTCCGCCCACCGCGGTTCCGGCTAGGCCCCGCCCTCGCCACACGCAGGCCCCGCCCCAGGTTTAAATTACACTGCCGCCCCCGCGGATTGCGCTGTAAACCTTGGCAGCTGCTCTCTGCCCAGGTTTCCCTCACGCGGTCTCCGCCCGCAGACAGCCAGCGTCCGCTCTCCCGTGTTCTCCCAGCGGCCCGGTGAGCCTGGCCCAAGCCCGAACCCTAGCCCTGCACCCCGCCGCATCTGCTCCACGCCTAGAAGGCCGGGCCTCGCTTCCCGCTCTTCAGTTTCTTTGTGTCTCCTCAGCATAGTTTGTCCTTTTCTCTGTCCTCTTGTTTTTTTTCTTCCTCTTCTTTCTTTCTTACTTTTTTTCTCTCTTATTTCTTTCTTTCATACAGGTCTTGCTACGTCGTGCGGGATGGGCTTGAACTTATATATAGCTCAGACTGGACTGGAACTCGGGGCAATCCTCCTGCCTCAGCCTCAGGAGTGCTGGGATTACAGGCTTGCATTTCCACACCCACCTCTCACCGTTTTTCTGACTCCCATTTGTGCTTTCCTTCTGGAGTCCAGTCGCCTGCCATGTTAACCTTCTGTGCTTCCCCTCTGGTCCTTGGCGCTGCAGGCCATGTGCTTCCAGTCCCTTTGCTGAAGGTGTTTATGCTGAGAAGAAGCTTTGATTTGGGCTCACTCCCAGTCTCTCCAGCCTTCTCACAGCCAGGTTTAGGCCCTCGCTGACTCCAAGAAGGACTAACCCATCATGACTGTCACGCACGGCTCCCCCTCAGCAGTTAGCTGATGGTTGGGAGGTGATGGGAACGCAGGAGAACCCCCAGTGCGATACAAAGCTGTCAGGGAGGGCGCTTGAGCTTACCCTCTCCCCCGTGGGTAGTCGCTGCCAACCCTGGGTAAAACGGACCCTGACTCCCCTTCAAGTCAAGCACCGAGTAAACTGGCTTGTGTGTCTTGGGCAGGGGCCTTTCCTTCCTGGGGTGTGGCTCCTTTTAAAGTGGATTTCCCCTTCTAAACCTTCCTCTTTTGCCCTCACCCACAGGGCACATAGTATGATCTTTAGGTGTTTGGTCTCCCAGCCATTTTCTATGGAAAACCAACGAGACCAGGCCATGATAGCCACTGGCAACTTTGAAGAACGAGACGCCTTTAGAGAAGCTTGATCTTGAAGGCCTCAGCCTGAGACCTTGCAAAACCAGGTAAGAGTCTAGTCTCCGAAGAGAGAACACTAAACACTAGCTGCCCTCCGGTCCTGTGACATGGGCAGGAAGTAGCAGGGCATTAACAAAAATTACCCCCTCCCAGTGAAATGGCTCTTAACAGTTCACTAAGCACTTTCATCATCCTTGGTCTCATGGCCTACCCGAAAGAGCCAAGAACAGTGTTCCCCATTTTATAAAAGAGTAACTTGAGGCCCAGCTGGGACTTCGATTAGCCCCAGGTCACGCTGGGAGTCAGCCCAAGAGCTAAGATAGGAATTTGGGTGGGGGTTTTTTGTTTTGTTTTGTTTTTGGTGGTGGGAGTGGGGGATGTTTGTTTTATTTTTTTGTCTTTTTGAGATAGGGTTTTGCTATGTAGTTCAGGCTGGCCTGAAACTTAACTGTGTAGCTCAAACTGGCCTGGAACTCGAAGTGATCCTCCTGCCCCAGCCTCACAAGTGCCAGGATTACAGGCTGGCATTACAGGAGTGCACCACCACTTCTGGCAGGGATTTATTGACTACATACTGTTAACTATAGCTTTTGACTATTCCAGGAGACTAATAATCAAGTCTTCTGAAACTGGTTTTAGCCTGAGACTAAAAAATATTATTCTTTCTAGGCTTAAGTTTTGTTTTGTTTTGTTTTGTTGAGACAAGATCTCAGGTTTTGAATTCACTATGCAGTCCAGGCTGACCTCAAACTCATAGGAGTCCTCCTGCCCCAGCCTTTCAAGTACCAGAACTACAGGTGTATGCCACCACATCTGGCTATTTATTCTTACTAGAATGCTTAGCACAAGTGACTTTGCCCCCATCACATCCTTCCAGGACCTGGCTTTCAGCAAATGTAGGTCAATAGTCAGAATGGCAGTGCAACCCAACTGTAGAGTCAAGCCTGTGTTAGACTCATCACTGGCACCCAGTTTGTCCGAAACTCAGAACTGTTTAATTGCCCTGAAGGAACTTTCCTTATCAAAGGCCCTATCTGTACCTGGGGCTGAGAAACACCAGGAAAGAAATGAAATAGCGACAAAGAATATAGGCTTCCCTTGCCAAATTCTCCTCACAAGAAATAAGGGCCTGCCCCAGGGCTACTCTGAGGATTAAATGAGCTAGTAGAAAGTTGGGGCCGTTGGTGGGACCAGGTGTAGGGCATCTCCTGGTGGAATAGGGTGTCAGAGAAGCTGGGGACCCTGGGAGCACCTCCATTAACCCACAGTACCATCCAAGCACCTTTCTCACTGAGCCCGCTGTGGACCAAGACCCATGAAACATGGATGAGGTGGGGCAGGCCCTTGAAGCAGTTGCTATGGTGACTCGCTTATTTTTCTGTTTGCCCAGCCATCTGGGGTGAGGCCCAGGAGGAAGAACCAGGGTGAGCTCTTTGTTTCTGTGAGTCTGTTCACAAGTGACTCCTACCACATCCTTCCTCCATGAGTCCCAGTGACAGGGACAGCCAGTCAAGTTGAGCTGAGCAGCTGCTGCTCTGAAATCAGAGAAGTGAAACTAGGGAAGAGAAGCAGGTTGCCTCCAACTGTGGGGTGCTGGGTTTACTTCCTTCTGGCACAGTAGATGAGGGTGTTGATCTGTTCAGAGAACAGAATGAAACTTGTGGTTTCCTGTGTCACTCCTTAGCTCTGACTCATAACCTTCTGATCCCTACTTCTTGTAAAGATGTGGATCCCCCTGTGATGGAGGAAACTGGCTTCCCCAGAGGCCAAAAAGAGCCATGCACCTGGGTGCTCAGCCCCTAGAATCACTCGGCATCCCTTAAGCAAACATTACTGTGCCTAAAAAGTCTTTCCTGGCCATCATTTCTCTACCTGGCCCTCAGTGGAGTTGGTTGTTCCATCCTTTGCATTTTAAGAATATGCCCTCCTAGCTATGCCCAGGAAGCAGGAATCACTAGGTTTTTTGTTTTGTTGAGACAGGGTCTCCGTATGTAATTCAGGCTGGCCTTGAACTCACTGTGTAGCCTCAGCCTCCCCATGCTGGGACTACAGGTATTCACTACATCCAGCTTCCCCTCTTCTGACAAGCAGTCTTTGAGCTCTGTTGGGGCTGGAAAGGACTGACTTAGTCATCTTATGTTTCTTAATTCTAGACCCATAAGAATCTCTTCTGTTTAGGAATCCAGAACATAAGCCTGTGGGTTTTTGTCTGTTGGGTCTTAGTCTGGCAAAATCTCCCCCAACTGATAACTCCATGCACCACAGACCAAGGGCAGCCCTGGGGTCACGCCAATCCACACCTCCTTGGAGTAAAGTAGAGAGCCCTACACAAAATATGAACTCTGGTGCCTACTTGAGGCCCTCAGAGCACCTCCTGTTTGCCCTCACAGGGCCCCTGGGTCCTGTGTGGTACTATCAGGAAAGTGGGGACTGGAGCCGGGAATTGTGAGCAGGACACTGTTGCTAATGGGGCCTCTCTCCTTCCAGCACAGATTCTGGCAGAGTTCCTCTATCTCATTTTGCTGATTGAAGGCAGTACACCCTCCAGTTTTTCCCCATCTCCTGGGAGGTAGAGGGAAATCACAATTATGGTTGGGTTCAAGGCCACAGAAATGCCCCCAACTGCCACTGTGAAGTTCCTGGGGGCTGGCACAGCGGCCTGCATTGCAGATCTCATCACCTTTCCTCTGGACACTGCTAAAGTCCGGCTGCAGGTGAGGGGATGACACCCGGGGGCCCTGATGCTATCTAATCTGTCCCAAGGACAGACTGTTGGGGGGTATTTGGGAGTGCAAGGATGGCAGGAGATGGACCTGCTTGTCACTGTAGCCTCTCTGTCTTGGGCTTGCAGATCCAAGGAGAAAGTCAGGGGCCAGTGCGCACTGCAGCCAGTGCCCAGTACCGTGGTGTGCTGGGCACCATCCTGACCATGGTGCGCACCGAGGGCCCCAGAAGCCTCTACAATGGACTGGTGGCCGGGCTGCAACGTCAGATGAGTTTCGCCTCTGTCCGCATTGGACTCTATGACTCTGTCAAGCAGTTCTACACCAAGGGATCTGAGCGTGAGTGTGGAGCCGGGACAGGCCTCTGGGCCTTGGCCTTTTTTCTTTCTGATGATTGATCTTTAGTTCAGAGGTGAATTAGCTGTTAGGCCTCAGGATCCCTAGAAGGATCAGAAGAATGGAGGTTTGTAAATGGCCCTGATTCAGGCCTAGGGAGACAGAGCACTTGCCTAGCCTGCATGAGACCTTGAGTTCAATCCCCAACACCACTAAAAAAAAAAAAAAAAAGATAAAGAAGTAACCCTGATTCTACTAGCAGTGCCTGAGCCAGGCTCTCTCTGAGCAGGGTGTTATCCTATGGTGGCATGTAGGTGGCATTGTCCATGTGTTACAGATGGAGAGACTGAGGTTTGAAGTGGGGAAGGACTCTGCCAGGGAACACAGTGGGAAGCCAGAATCACATGCAGCACTCTTTCCTCCAAGGCCAGTGTTCCCTAACTTCCTCTCACACATTCCACACCAACTCTTTTTTTATTTTTTATTTTTTTTTGAGACAGCGTCTCACTAGATAGTTCAAATTGGCCTTGAACTCACTTTGTAGCTCAGCCTGGCCTCAAACTCAAAGTGATCCCCCTGCCTCAGCCTCCAAAGTGCTGAGATTGCAGGTGTGTGCTCCCATGCCCACCAGCCCTTCATTTTACACTAAGGAAACTAGGAGAGCAGGTTGACTTTCCAAAGATTACAGGGATGGGGAAGAAGATCTGAGACAACCCAAGTCTTACGAATCCTTAGTTCATCAGAAAGCTACTTTTAGCCTTGGTTTTCACATTTGTTACAGGAAATGATTCTGACTTCTCAGGGACATTAAGCAGGTTAAATGAAAATGTTTTACTGTAGAAAACACAAGGTCTAGGCTGGGAATGTAGCTCAGTGGTAGGGTGCTTACCTAGCATGCACAGGCCCTGGGTTCAATCCCCAGTATCACACTCACACACACACACCCACAAAGTCTAATGTTTGTCTGATTCCTTATCAAATCCTAGCACATAGTAAACTTTCACAGTGTTAATGCACTTTGATTGCAAAGAAACTTCTTAGAACAAGAGTGGCCTGTGGCCTAGACACCGTACCTGAAAGTCAGAGTGCAGTGACATGGTAGTTTTAGTGAGGAGAGATGAAGAAAATGCACAGAAGCCCATCTGGTCACTGACACCCATAGTTTTCCCACAGATGCCAGCGTTGGGAGCCGCCTCCTGGCAGGCAGCACCACAGGTGCCCTGGCTGTTGCTGTGGCCCAGCCCACAGATGTGGTAAAGGTCCGGTTCCAGGCTCAGGCCCGAGCTGGAGGTGGTCGGAGATACCAGAGCACTGTGGATGCTTACAAGACCATTGCCCGAGAGGAAGGGCTCCGGGGACTCTGGAAAGGTTTGGACAGGTATTCCCCTTCCCACAGCTCTATTCTTCCTGTGCCCTGGTCTCACACAGCCTTTCCTGTAGGGACCTCTCCTAACATTGTTCGTAATGCCATCGTCAACTGTGCTGAGCTGGTGACCTATGACCTCATCAAAGACGCTCTCCTGAAGGCCAACCTCATGACAGGTGGGTTAGAGTAGGAGGTGCAGAAATAGACACATGATGTGCTGCCCACAGACCCCATCCTGTTTGCCCTTTGCTTGTAGAGTGAGTGCCTTTCTCCTTTGCCACACTGAAGCCACCTGGGACCAAGCTCCCACTTCACACATTGAGGAGTTGAAGGCAGATCAGCAAAATGACTCCTTTAAGTCCTCATAAAAGATCTCTTTAAAACCCAAGACTCCTAGCTACTTAATTCTCTTCCCTTCGAGAATGGCTAAGGGGTGCTGACTGCCTTGTTTCCTGCTCCTTGCTAGATGACCTCCCTTGTCACTTCACCTCTGCCTTTGGCGCGGGCTTCTGTACCACCATCATTGCCTCCCCTGTCGACGTGGTCAAGACGAGATACATGAACTCTGCCCTGGGTCAGTACAGCAGCGCTGGCCACTGTGCCCTTACCATGCTCCGGAAGGAGGGGCCCCGAGCCTTCTACAAAGGGTGAGCCTCTGACCCCCTCGCCCAGCTCCAGGCCTCCTGGCCATCCACACCTGTCACACCGGAGAGAACTGCTTGGAATGAGAAGCAACCAGCTGTCAAACCTCACAGGATTGCCCTCATCTCCATTTTATAGATGTTAAAGTAGGAATTAAGGCTGGGGGTGGTAGAGCACTTGCTTAGCATGTGTGAGGCCTTGAGTTCAGGTGGATTAGAGCAGGTGGTAGCACTGCAAAAGAGAGGGGTGTGGAAATCAGCGGGATTCTTGCCTGAATACACAGCTGTGAGGCTGTGTTCACCAGGTTCTCCGAGTCCTCCCATCCTCCTTAGGGTAGGATATGGGTTGAGTTGGATCACATGCCAGGGCCCAGCAGGAGATGCAGGGAATGGAGTGAGCCGTGTAACCTGTGTTTTCTTTCCCCTAGGTTCATGCCCTCCTTTCTCCGCCTGGGGTCCTGGAACGTGGTGATGTTTGTCACCTATGAGCAGCTGAAACGGGCCCTCATGGCTGCCTGCACAACCCGGGAGGCTCCCTTTTGAGCCTGTCCTGCTGCTGACCTGATCACCTCTGGCTCTAGCTTCACCTCCATCCAAGCCATGCTTCCTTTTCCTCCTTCCCCTTCCTCCTTTCTTCTTTCCCCTTCTCCCTTCCCCTTCCTTCTCCCTACCTCCTCCTTTTCTCCCCACATGGCCCCTCTTTTCCCCACTGGCTCAGTGCTGGTGGAGCTGACCCTGTCTAAAGCAGGAGGCCTGGCCCTATCAGGACCTCAAACCCTCTGTCCTTTGAAAAGTTCAGACCAAATCATCCTGACCCCCAGGCTGGCCCAGCCCAGCCAGCCTGTCACCCATAAAGCAAGCTCAACCATGGTGTCTCCTCCCTCTCTCATGGCTGATACCAGAGGTCCTGGTCCAGTGGGCCCTTTGGGCACCTAGTGAGCAGAGGAGGAGCCCCCTGACATCAGAAAGGGGTGTGACCCACCTGCCTCCAGCATCCAGTGTGGGGCCCATGAATGCCTGTAGTCCATTTTTCCCTTTAGGCCCTGGGCTGAAATGGCTAGTGAAGGACACCCCTGAGGGACAGCAGGGACTCCCTTCTCTGCCTGGTCGGTCACTTGAGCTTTCAGTCACTCTACCCAGAGTCCCAGTGCCTCCTCCCAGGCCTGCTGATCTGTAGTGAAGCAGCTCCAGTGGAGTTGGAGCTTCAGAGTCTTAGATGCTATTGGTGATTCCATTTTACTATTGGCAAACCCACCTCCCCAAAGTCCTGGACTAGTGCAGGAAACCATTGCCCATGCACACACAGACACACCCTGTCACACCCCTGGGAGGAAGTGTTCTGAGCTGGTGGGACAGGCCCTGACCACAGCACTGACTGGGTTCCCACTGCAGGCAAACATCCAGCTTCACTTTCTGCCTGAGGGTACTTTGGGTTTGGTGTCCCACACTCTCCAGGCAGGGAGTGACAAGCCAGGACTTGGCTGCACAGGGGTTTCACCTTTGTTTTCAGAGGCAGGTGGGCAGGCCTGTGGAGTTTCATGGGGTGAGTCTTAAGTTGTCAGAACAGGTCTGGACTCTTAGAATTAAGTTCAGTTAGGCCCAATTTACAGATGTCCAAGGACTGAAGCGGATCATGCAGGTAAAGACAAAGCCAGTCTGAATGAGGACTCTCAACTCGCCATACTTTTTCCCCCAGAGGGGGAAAGTTCTGGGGGAGACCTGTTTGGCCGCTGTGGAGCCAGGCCCAGAAAACCAGGCTTTTCTCCCTCAGCTAAACCCATTGGCCAGAGCAGCAGACCTCTCTGTCCTTTGGCAAGAGGAAGAATGTTTGGTTCCTAGAGAAGAAGTGTGAACCGCCCAGCTTCTGACAAATTGAGCTGAGGCCTCAGTCCCTGGGAAGGGACGAGATTGAGTGCTGTGAGATGGCAAGCAGGTGAAGGTGTAGGAAGGCCAGCCTGGTGGTTCTCTGCTAGGCTGCAGGGAATCTGCATGAGTCTGGCCACTGCCTTGTATAACTGTTCACTATGCTGTGGCACTGGCTGAGCGCTTTTGCGCTGGAGGCAGTGCATGTCTGCCTCGGAGCTGAACTGGGTGGGTGGGTAGGTAATGACCTCAGCTGGTTCCTTTACCAGCCTTGTGCCCAGACACTGAGATGGGCACAAGACCCTCTGAATTCAGCATGGCTCTGAGCATGACCGTGGACTAATGAGCCAGACAAGGGGTTAGAGTCACCTGCAGGCCTTGGTGACACTGCTTTGCTTTGCCTGACTTGAGTCTGAGGTAATGGAAATCTCATAAAAGTCTGTCATTGGGCCTGAGACCACACTTGCTTCAGAGCCCACTGGGACAGTCAGGGGCATCCGGGTGCCCGAGAGGAGGCCTGGTAGTGTCCCACAGGTGGGGCCCTGCCTGCCCTCCCCGACACCAGGCTTGCTCAGGACTGGGCCGCACCACCATCCCCTCCATCTGGCCTCCACAGAAGGTCTGCAAGTTCAGGGCAGTGAAACAGCCAGAGTGAAGTGCACATAGGGGGTGCCAGTGGATTTGTGTGACTCCCATAGACTCCTGACTGCTACACTGAAATGTTCCCTAAAACCTGGCCCAAGTCTTTCAGATCAGCTGCTGCTTTCATGCTGTGTGTGGCATTTTAAAATGGCACCCAAAGCCTGGCCTGGTGATGGGTACCAGTGATCCCATGTACTTGGGAGACCATGGCAAAAGGATTTGATTTACCAGGCTAGCCTGGGTAAGACCTTGTCTCTTTAAAAAAAAAAAAAAAAAAAGGCTGGTTAATGGTGGTGCACACCTGTAACCCCAGCACTCTGGGAGCTGGGTAGGAGGATCTCAAGTTCAAATTCAGGCTGGTAACTTAGTGACTTAAGTGAGAGCCTGTTTCTAAACTTCAGACAATAGGCTGGGGATGTAGCTCAGTGCAGGGACCCTGAGTTCCATCCTGAGTATTGAAAAAGACAGTGGCTGCCAGGTGCCGCTGAGCTCCCACTTGAAGAAAACCTTAAGCTAGTACTGTGTTTGGAATGGCGGGATTGCAGGCAGTGTAGATAATATTGGACCTTTTCTGGCACTTGGGAAGCCATTCTACAGAAGTGGCCGTCTACCCCTCTGACCTATTGCACTCTGCTTCCCAAGAACAGTGTTTCCTGCCACAGAGGAGGATCCTGCTGCTAGTTCTGGGGAGGCAGGTATGGGCCATATCAGACCAGTTGGACCCAGGATTGCAACTCCAGGCTACACCAGCAGCATCAGTGACCTTAATCTCCAACCTGTGACAGAGTATGAGTTCTGTTCTACTAGCAAGATGGGGTCAGGGCTGAGACCAGAACCCAGGACTCCTTCCTAGAGAGCCCAGAACCCACTTCATAGACAAGAGAATTGAGGTGGAGTGTGTCTCTGACCTAAACTGGTGGGTCTGGGAGGTAGCCTGGAGACTCCGATGACAGCTTTGTCCCCTAAATCTTCTGGAACAAGTTTATTTTTTGGTTTTTTTTGACACAGGTCTCAAACTGGCTTGAGCTCACTATGTAGCCCAGGCTGGCCTCAAAATCACAGTGAACCTCCTGCCTCTGCATCCCAAATGCTGGAATTACAGGCGTGCACCACCATGGGTGGCCAAGTTTTCTATTTGTACTCTAGTTTCCTATCTCCAGTGTAACAAATCACATTTCAGCAACTAACCCTTCTACATACTGTGCTGGGCATAATGGCTCACACTAATCCCAGCACCCAGGAGGCCGAGACAGGAGGATTGTTGAAAGTTTGAGACCAGCCTGAGGTACAAAGTGAGCTCAAGACCAGCCTGAGATGCATAGCGAGACCTTGTCTCAAAAAGACAAAGTGTCATGAAAAGTTAGGGCAGACCTGGAGACCTCAGAAGCCACATGGTCCTACCCTATTCTAGTAGGAGTATAGAGGCTCTGACCAAGCCAAGCCAGGACAAGGTCCCAGGTGCCCATCCTTCTGGGTTCTGCAGGAAGCTCCTCCCCAATATATTCCTGGCATAACTAGGGGATAGGAAGTAAATTTTTATTATGTCAGTATAAGATCCCATTCCACCACTCCCTCATGTCACATCTGTGCAGGGCTGGCTCCCTGGCACTCGGGCTGCTGCATAGGGGCAGGTGGCACACAGTGAGCCCCTGCAGCCGGGTCAGGTTAGCAGTGCCTGGCGCAGCATCTGTTTCTTCTGCGGTGTGAGGCGGGTGGGAAATTGGATATCGAACAAGATGAAGAGGTCCCCCTTTTTGGTGGGGTCCTCAGGCAATGGCATCCCCTCCTCTGGCACCTTCTTGAAGTACTTGGGACTAAGGAGAGAGGGCAAGAGAAGGGAGCGTAGGGGAGTAGCCCCTAACAGGCCCGAGCAGGGACAGACTGACACTACAGCTCTCCGGGGACAGCTCTCAGCGGCTCTCAGGGGAGGAGGGGAGAATGGCTTCCTCCAAACAGTGCTCCCTGGAAAGCCTTCCACAGAGCATCTGCTGGGGGGGTCCCAGGAATCTAGTGTTAGGTGTGGGGAAGAGGGCAGGCCTGGCATGAGGGTGGCAGTGCTGGGCGGCATCCCACTCAGACAGGTCCTTTCCCCAGAAAAAGATTTAAAGGGTACAATTCAGAATGTTAGAAATTTGGGAGATGGAGGTAACAGAGACTGCCCAGCACTCGGGGCCTCGGACCTCTACCATGGATCCATGCAAATTAGAAAAGGGCATTCTAGAGCCGGATGTGGTGGCTCATGCCTATAATCTCAGCATTCAGGAGGCTGAGGTGGGAGTTCAAGACCAGCCTGGGCTACAAAGTGAGCTCAAGGCCAGCCTGAACTGCATGGCGAGACCCTGTCTCAAAAAGAAAAAAAAAAAAGAAAAGGGCATTCTTTTTGCCAGGTGAATGCAGCCCAAAGCTTGGCCAGAGCGGGGTGCATTTCAGCCTTCTCTGCCCTTCTCAGCAGGGGATGCTTGTGCTGGGTACAGCCTGTACAACTGTACAAGGCAGTCCTTCCTGGATGCACTTGCTAAGTCCCAGGCCAGGCCTTCCCTTGCATACTGGGCCCCAAGGCAGAAGGACTCACTGAACGATGTCATTGATGGGAATGTTGAGCAGACGGTCATCTAGGGTCTTCACTTCCACGGTGCAGCAGGTGAGGGCCTGGGGAGGTCAGGAGCAAAGGAAGGGGAGAGGGCCACCATGGCCATCTATTTAGAAGGCATTGGATGATTCTATTCAGTATCAGGCCATGCATGAGGAGGGCACCAGAGAGACAAAAGGCTGTTCAGAAACTAATAGGTGAAGCCCAGTGTGGTGGCACACACCTATAATCCTAGCACATAGGAGGCTGAGGCAGGAGGATCACCATGAGTTTGAGGCTAGCCTGGGCTACATAAGCAAGTTCAAGGCCAGTCTGAACAACATTTGACTCTGTATCAAAATAAATAATGCAAAAAAACTAATAGGTAAATGACATAGGCGAGTGATGGTGAACCTTTTAGAGCTTTCAATGATCTAAACGGTCCACAGCGGCATGAGCACCATATATTTGCCACCACTGTCCTGCGCCATTATCCCTCCTCAAGGAGTTCACAGTCTGGTAGGTCAGACTGATGTTGATAGCATACAAAGATCATGATAGAGATGGAAACGGATGTGGGAGCTAATTCTGGAGAGGGAGGGACCATCAAACTGGTGGCAGCCAACGAGGCCTTCCAGGGTGAGGTGGGCAGGCAGCCTGCAGCAGAGGCCCAGCAGAAGCAAGAGAACAGAAAAAGTCCCACCCACAGGGGTGCCCAGTGTCCTAGAGTGGGCTGTTCTTTTTTTACAAGCAGGCTGTTTTTTTTTTTTTTCCTTTTTTAATTGGTACCAGGGATCAAACTCATGACCTCATGCTTGCCAGGCAGGCACTTATGCCACAGAGATAAATCCCCAGCCAAGCAGGCTGTTCTTGAGCATCACTCTGAGAGCCGGACAGTGAGGAGGCTGGCAGAGTGGCAGCCCTGAGAACAAGGGCCGGGGCAGGGGGTGGGAGTGACAAAGATTGTCCAGTGCATAGAACTGGCCAGCAGGGACCGCAGGAGGGTGGAAAGCAGGATCAGGTGGCAGGGGTTTAGGCAGTGCAGGGGAGGCTGAGTCTAGGCCAGTGCAGGTGGGTCAGGGTGTGAGCCCCCACCCCCTGCTCCCCCACTGTGCCCCTTACCTTGCCCAAGGGGATGGAGTTCACAAAGAAGAGGTTGTCATTCTCCCTGCGGAAGCGAGGGTGCAGCTTCTCCTTGACAATGAAGATGATGTCAGCTGGGATGATGTTGGGGCCCTGGGTGGGGGAGGCCAAGGGTGACAAGGACTAACTGCCCGGGTGCCCGAGGCCGAGTGCCTGCTTCTCCTTGTCTATATGACCTGTCTGTCCCATGGGGAGATTAGACAGGGTTCTGGAGGGCCTGCCCAGATGAAGCCCCAAGCATCCTCCTGAGCATGCTGCCCATAGACACCCCCAGTGGGAGGGGAGCAGGGCCACTGAGGGTGGCAGTGGAACTCTAAGTGGGGTGTCAGACAACTGCCCACAAGTCCAGTCCTGTTAGTAGCTCAGAAATGATACCTCTCAGCCAAGCTCCATAGTCACCAAAACCACTGAAGTTTCCTCTGGGTACTGGACACAGTGGACTCAGAGCAGCCTTTTCCCCAAAGGAGTGCCCAGTCCAGTGGGGCAAACAGAACCAGTGAATTCCCAGCAATCTCAGAGCCAGGATAAAAGGAGGTTACAAGGTAGGAGTGTTAGAGGAGGTGCTGACCCATGTGGAGCCACCTGAGGTGGCTCAGAAAAGGGATCTAGGTGGGCCCAGAAGGGTGTTGGTTTTTCTTTTTTTGAAGACAGGGCCTCACTATGTAGCCCGGACTGGCCTCAAACTCACAGAGACCCTCCTGCCTCAGCCTCCTGAGCACTAGGATTACAGTTCACCATGCCTGGTCGAGAAGGGTGTTTTTGTCTTTTGTTTGTTGTTTGAGACAAGAAAGGGTGTTTTTTCTTTTATTCATTTGTTGGTTCAGACAAGAAAGTCTCTCATTTTGCTGCCAGGCCAGGTAGGGTGTTTCTCATACTTGAGAAATGAGGCAAGAAGTATGGGCAGAGGAATTAATTTCTTTACTCTGAATGTTCCATCTCTATGCCTCTTCTCAAGACTTAAGGGCTCAGTGTACCTAGGATAATAATTTTCTATATTTATTTATTTATTTTGGTCTTTTTGAGACAGGGTCTCACTATGCAGTTCAGGCTGACCTTGGGCTCACTTTGTAGCCCAGGCTGGTCTTGAACTTGCAACAATCCTCCTGCCTCAGCCTCCTGGACGCTGGGATTACAGACATGAGCAATCTCACCCAGACCCATATTTTTATCTAAATAAGTATTTAATTTAAAACTATTAGTAAAAATGGTTCTGAGTAGCTCCTACAGTTGGGTTTTATTCAGAGAAGCACTGAAGAAAATCAGGAAAGAGCCCTGAAGGTAAGACTGGCTTCTCTTTCCTGCCAGAAGCTATGCGTCTGCCCTGCACAAGTCCTGTGCCTCTGTGGGCCTCAGTTTCCCACTGAGGGGATGGAGATAATCCCTAAACTGCCACTCATGGGGTGTTGTGAGTTTCTGTCCCTGCAAAGTGAGGCGAGGGGTGGCCTTGTGACTCTGTGAAATGGTCGCCCACCATTCCACACCACGGTTTCTGGGGTGGGCCAGGGCACCATCTCCTCCTCAGCCTTCCCAGCTCTTGAGCCTGGTGACTGACCCTGGTCAGCACCTTCCCTTTTACCTGATCTCCCTCCTTCTCGAAGGTGATGCGGGTGCCCTGCCTCCATCCAGGCCGCACATCAATTGTCAGGATCTTGTCCTTGATGGTAGAGGAGTACCCGTCATCATTCAGCACCTGCAGGGACATGGTGAGGGGTGGTCTGCTCAGATTTTATGAGACCCCGTCACATACATGAATGATTCCCTGTGAGAATTTTAGCCGGGGTTAACCCTCCAGCTAGGGGGGAAGACCTGTGCTGAGCCAGTCACAGTCTCGTTCTGCTGCCACCAGAACTAAGGGCTCCTGATTCTAGGACTGGAGCTAGGACCTGAGACACCGAGTGGTCGCCACAAATTATTCAAACCTACACCTCCAACCCTGGCCTAACAGATGCGTGGTGAAAATGTAATCAGTTCTTCACTTCAAATCCTGGCGGCCCTGGCCCTGAGCTCTTTGCAGTTCTCTTCATCTCAAAAAGAAAGAGCATGGAAGTCAGCATTCGTGAACATCACCCAGCGCAGTCACCCGCTGTGTGTTGTTCATCCATCCCCAGTCACACGCCCACATGGGTGCTGTCGCAGCAAGCATGGCTACAGCTGGCACCTCTTCTGCTGGGCAAGGTGACAGAGGCTGACAGAGGGCTGGGCCATGGGTCCACAGACTGAACTCCAGGACACACAGGGTCCTCCCCAACCTGTCAACTCAGGGACTGTCTTCCATACCCGCGCTCCTCTCTCTCCAGATGGAATCCTGAGGGACAGCGGCTCCAAACTGAGAGGGGTCCTGCACCAGAAAGGGTGCTGCCAGGGGATTCTGAGCAAGTGGGCAAAGGGGAGGGTAATCCTCAGTAGTTCCTTCCAAACCTCAGGTTCTAGAATCCTAAGAACCTAGATCTCTCTAGCCAGGGTTCATGATCATATCAAAGACCATTCCTGCATTCTCCAGTTAGAGAAGGGAAGGGGTACAGAGTGGGGGAAGGGGCTAATTGATGGCATAATGGAGGAGCAAGCCAAGCACTCACCCTTCGAGAGATCTTTATTTTTTTAGTGCAGCCAAAGAATAAATCCTCTAGGGATAAGTAGAGGTCCCGTTCAATTGGGGGGTCCTGCTTCTTGACCCCTCGCCCTCTGAGTCCTCCAAAATTCAAATCCACATCACTTCCTCCTGCATCAAAAAATTCTACAGGAGAAAAAAGAGACAAGTGAGAGAAACTATGTCCAAAAACTCAAATTCACACACATAACACATTCTACCTCACACACACACAAGCCCCGTCCCTGTATTTCTTCCAGTCTCTTGGCAGCCTCAAGTGTAATACCTAGTGCCCAGACTCCAGCTGCTTGGCCAAACCAAGAAATTGTCCTTAACCTCAGACCAATGAATAGCAACCAATTCCTACTGCCTGTTGAGTACCAACTCAGGCTGGCTCACAAAGGGAGGCACGCCCTCTCCTGGCAGGGCCTTGTAGTGCTAGAAAAGACTCCAAGTTGACTATCAGCAGTGAGCAAGACCAGCCAGTCCAGTCCTCTACCCAGTCCAGAATCCCACTCTGCCTCACTGTCCAGTCCTCCCCATGACCACCGAGACCCAAGATTCGAGTATCTGTGATGTTATCAGCTGATAAGAAAGGGGGGAAGGACTGGTCCCCAACAAATCTGAGCCAAATTTGTCTTTTCTCAACTTCAGCTGTACCTGCCCATCCTACACCTGTAACCCCTCCTGCTGCCCCTGCCTTCTACCCCACTGCAGAGAGAGAGCCCTGCGCTGGCCCTGACCCCGAGGATTGTGCAGTCCTTTGGGACTCAGTTTCTCTGTCTGTGGGATGGTGCATTAACACTTGACCACTCTTCTGCCATTAAGACAACAAAGAACTTAAACTTGCTGAGACCTTTCCAAACAGCAGGTGCTATGTTAGACACTTATGTTTTTATTTTAATTGATTTATTTATGTTTGAAGTGCCTCAAACCCAGAGCCTCAAACCCAGAGCCTCGTGCATGTTATTCAACTGCTCCACCACTAAACCACTAAGCACACAGAAGGCTCACCGCCCAACAGCTGGTAAGTAGTGGAGTTGAGACCTGTATCACAGCATCATCCGCTACAGAGCCAGAAGCTATACTGATAGATGTGGAAACCTTCCACAAACTGCAGAGTCACAAGTTGCTATTATGTACTACTGTACTCTGTCTCTCCTAGCTAATGCCATGGAATCAACTTCACAGGCTGGAACAGTGAAATGACTTTAGGAGGTGAGTGTGAGGTGACTTCACCACCCTGCCAGTGTCTTGTGGAATGTCATAATCAGGAGCCCTCTGAACTACCTGGCCCCCCATGCATAGCAGATTCATTTTCACCCAGCACCTGTGGGGTCTCTCATAGCCAAGGCACACTCAAAATCCATACGGACAAAGGGAGTAAGAATCCCTGGAAGGGAGCTCTGTAACATACAGCCCTAAGCCCTGTCTAAGGAACTTCCAAACCCAGAAGGCAACCTTCCCTGACGTGCCCCTGAAGGCTTTCTCAGGTCCCTTGAACTACATAAATAAGGCAATAATTTAAAATGATGAATTTTAAACATCTCGTGAGTGGACTTGTTGGCCCTTGGCATCCATCACTTCTTGTTGGAAATCTTCCCTGCTGAGGACTCTAGAGCTGAAAGGAACATTCCTGGACCCCTCTGTAGTTAGGGTTTGCATTCTGTTCACAAAGTGAGCAGTGAGCCAGTTGAAAGGCAGAAAGAGGAAGGCAGATGTTATGGCTTGTGTCTAGATGTCCTCCCAAAGCCTCATGCAGTTTGAGATGGGAATTTTTAGCAGGTGGCTGAATCTAGAGTGTGTGACTGATTCATGATGCTAATGCTAGAATTAAGGATGCTGGGATGAAGGATGGGCGATTGCTGGGTCAGTCCACTGATTGGATTGGCACTGCTCTAATCCCAGGAGACTGGATACAATATAAGGGACAGAAAGAGGCTTGTCTTCCCCCCTTCTGGCTTTTGCTGTCTTTTTCCACCATGAACTGTTGTCCCTCTAATGTGTCACACTGTCTTGGAGCCAGCAGATTATATACTAAAACTTCTACAAACTGTGAACTAAATAAACCTTTCCTCCTTGATTGGGTATTTTGTCTCAGCAACAAGAAAAGTACGTAAGGAGGCATCTTCCTGTGTGTCTTTGCTGAAGCACTGGTGAGTACTGGGAGTCAGGAAGAGACTGGGCTTCTCTGCAGCAGCAGTTCTGCCCCCCCCCAACACACACACACGTTTTATGCCAGCCAGAGGCAAGGAAGGTAGCAATGGGGGCAAATTCCTTAAAGCAGGGCTATAGCTACAGTGATGTATTCTGGAACACAGCAGAGCATTTTCTGATTCCTTCAGCATGACTGTGGCCGAGACAGTGCCCTCCTGTGGGTTTCAGGGCACTGTTCTCAGCAGAATGTCTCTCAGATCTCCCAGTGGTCTTTCAAGCACCTAGTTCCTTGCACTGAACCTCTTCTTCTTCCCCAGGTTAGTGCAGTGTGTTTCTGTAACTGATTTCTGATTAGTACATATCTTATACAGTTAAGCCTCATATAGCTTTTAAAATGATTAAAGGAGATCTATAGATATCATCATAGTACAATCTCTGAGATAAAGTAAGTATAAAGAGACAGTGTATATGATACAGTCCCCTTTTCTTGAAAAAAAAATATACAGTTTATGTAAAAACTAATACATGGTCATCAGACACACAACATTTCCAGAAGGATATGCAGACTGTTAACTGTGAGGAGCTACTTGTAGGGAAGGAAATAGAAATGGAAATAATTTATATATAATTTTTAAAAAAAATTTTAAAACCATGTATTGGTTACAAAGCTTTTTTTTTAAAGCTACTCAGAGGAAAGCATCTTCCCCAACTGTGTCTTGTCCCAGCAGACACATGCTGCATAGGGCTGCTCACCACTGAAAGGGTTGTCTCCCCCGAAGAACTCATGGAAAACCCTGTCAGGGTTGCCGTGGAAGACGTAACCAGTTGTCCATGGAGTCTGGGCTCCGAACTCCAGAGGAATTCCACCCTTTAGGCCCTCCTCACCAAACTTGTCATAGATGCCTCTCTTCACAGCTGTGGATATGGGTGAGCTTGAGGAGGGGTCCAGCTTTGGGAGCTAAGAGAGACAGGTGGACTGGGGGGCAGGCAGGCTGAGGGAGGGGGGAGGGTAAAAGCAGCCTTGTTTCCAGAGTGCCTGCTGCCTGGAAGTCTCTGAAATGAGACCCTAGAAGTTAAAAGGTTTGGTTTCAATCTGGGTGGACCTGAGGAAAACCACTGGAGCCCAGAATAGAGAAGTAGTAATTTGGTGGGATGGGGGTACAGGTTCGAGGAGGAACTGAGACACTAAGGGTTAAGCTGCAGATCGAGTTGGCTTAATTCAGTCATCACAGTTTATTGTCCTATTTGGGAGTAACCAGATTCCTAGAGACTTGAACTTTTAGAATCTAAGAATTTTCAACTCTGGAGGTTTGAAATCTGAGAGTCTGAGAATTCTGCAGACCTGAAAATCCAGAGCTAGAAAAACTTTAGTGATCTGCACACCATTCTGCACAGGATCGCAGTCCCCAGGACAAGCCCTCAGGGCAGCCACGAGGGCACTGCCTATGTAGGTGGTGACTCACACTTGCTCCACGCTCCCGCTTCCACGGGGAGACATTTCCCAGTGGTTCCTGGCCTCTCTCTGCACTTCATGTCCCTGTTTCCTTGGGGACATGAAGACAGTCTGGAAGGATAAATTGGCCTGCGCAGCCTCAGTCTTCTGCCCTCAGTAGCCAGTATCTCCCTCTGCTCCTTGGGAAATGCACCCTGCCCCACTGGTGAGCCATCAGCCTAAACCCGAGCTCTGCACTCTGCAGCCGCTGAGAGAGACTTTTGTAGGCCAGACCTGATGGCAAATGCCTGTGGTCACAGCTACTGGAAGGCTGAGACAGAAGGATCACAAGTTCAAAGTCAGTCTGGGGAATTCAATGAAATCATGTCTCAAAGTAAACAACAACAACAACAAAAGACTGGGGTTGTAGCTCTGTCGTAAAGTACTTGCCTACCACCTGTGAGCTCTAGATTTAATCTCCAGTACAGAAAGAGAGGGAGAGAGAGAGAAAAAAGGTGGGAAGGAAGGGGAAAAGGAAGGAAAAGCCATTCATTACTCTAGGTTCTCTCTCTCTCTCTCTCTCTCTCTGTCTCTCTCTCTCTCCCTCTCTTGCTGGTACTGAAGATTGAACTCAGGGCCTTGTGTGTGCTGCGCACGTGCCTTCCACTAATCTACATCCCCAGCACCTCTCTCTAGGTTCTGAACATGGAGCATGATGGTTACGCTCTACTGGACCCCTCAGAAAACCCACCATTCTAGAGACATGAGGAGGGACCTTACAGGAAGCATGGAGACAGAGTCCGAGAGCCCAGCCCATCACTCACGATCGCTCAGCACATCGTAGGCCTCCGCGATTTGCCTGAATGTCTCTGCTGCATATGGCTCACTGGACTTCAGTGGGTGGTTCTTCAGGGCAAGTTTCCGGTACCTACAGGAGGGCAGTTTGATGGGAATTGTAGCAGCAGACCTGCTGCTGAGGTGCAGACCATGGTTCAGAGCTGATAACGTCATCTGCCTCGCTATCAATCAGGGGTGACTAGATAGGCTGTGGTGGCCGCCCAAGTACTTAGCTCAGATCTCCCTAAAACAAACCGGTGTGTGACATAGGTAGCTGACACCCCCCAGCAGCTGCCCTCAGGCATTTGTTCTGAGGACACTAAAGTCCTGAAACAAGGCTGGAGGAAGCCTTAGTGATCTCCTAACTTCTCCCAAGCTTCCCCCACCAACCCCTAAATGTGGCAGAGGATCAGTGATGCCCATTCCTGTGAGATATGGGACTCCTTTCAGTGGGAAGCCTTGGTTTGGGGACTTCCCACAGCCTGACTGAGACTGTCTGGGGCCACACTGCAGCTATTCCCACTCAGGCCTCCCCCTCCATCAGGCCTGCCCTGCAGTCTGAAGCTCCCCCTGCACACTTCCACCCCCCACTTTATCTCTCACAGGGGACTCCCACATATTTTGTGCACATCTAATCCTGTCTTGGTGTCTGCCTCTTAGAGGACCAGAACTGACACGAGCTTCTCAGGAGACAAAGCTAGGTATACAGAGAGGCCCTGGAAGAGGTCTGTCACGTCCTGGCGCCATCCCCCTGCTCTGTGTTCATTTCTTCTCGATTCTGTACCTGCCAATCCCTCGCCCCCACCCCAGCCTGGGCTCCTGCAGCACCTGAGGATAAGTATTGTCAGTGCCCCAGGAGAAGTGCAGAAATGAACTGGATGACTTACGGAAAGTGTGGTGGAGGGTCCTGCACAAATGTTGCAGACAGGGAGAAGAAGACACAGGGACAGCACAGTCCCAAGAGATGGGAACACTGGGGTTTCCTGGGAACCCCGCTGGAGTGAGCGAGGGCTGTTACTAAAACCCAGAAGGAGTAGTGGACAGGGCCTTTGGCAGGCACTGTGAGCTTCAGTTAGGAGACACGGCAGCTTGAGGGATCCCACAGGAAGGGAGCTTGGGAATTAAGACAAAAACCTTACTTTTTTCCCTCCCAACCTGCAGTGCTGCCTGCACTGGCAGGACGAGTCAGGAAACCTGAGGACCAAGAAGCCTGCTGGTGCTTTTGTACTGTGTTGTCATTGCACTGGCTGGCAAGGCATGGGGGTATCTGAAGGGTATAAAAAGGGGTCCGGACTCCCAGGTCACCCAGTTCCAATTTGACCCTCCATTCTCCTAGCTGGGCCAGGCTCTCTCTCGCTCTCTTTTTTTTTTTTTTTTTTTTTTTTTTTTTATTTAAAGAGAAAGAAACAAACAAAATACATGGAGATAAAAAAGGGTAGGATACAGAAATAATACAGAATTACAGAAAAATAAATGGTAAGAAATCGCCAGTTGATAAGTTACATATTGTCATCTTAGAAAGAGCTGTTCAGGTTACAAAATTAAAGTATGTAAAATGACATTCAAATAGTGACACTGCCAACAGTTCTGCTCAATGATCTAACAAAAACTTAGTAATATGGTTATCACACTTGTTTTATATCATAAGTCCTACACACTTGTTTTATATCATAAAGAGGGTAAGATTAAACATATCAAAACAGAACAAAACAGTTTACAAAAAAACAATTTAAAGAAATACAGATTTCAAAGCAAGTCCACTGGAGATCTTTACAGTCTATCTAATTATCTCTAGTTTCTTCCAAATAATTTTTCCCATCTTCACACACATTAAATACATACTGCATATTACAGAACTAATCAAATCATTACAGGATGATGAAGGCTTTTTAGGTCTTCAAGATCTGACATTGGGGAAGACAATAATAACTACCATCACATTTCTCATTCTCTTCGTTGTAGCTGTCCTTATCTTTACATATGCTGATATTGAACTTAAGAGACTAGACTAATATCACTCTCATCAGTGAATACTAGTATTGCTAGATTTTATATCATAATGCTACAAAATTAGCATTGGGTTTCTTAGTATCTCTTCTTCTTCAGAGCATCTGTTCATTACATTTTGAGTTATATAATCTGTTCCCGTAAATAGTTTTTTAAAAGAATCTTCTCATGCATGAATTTCTACATGTATATCTATCCTCTCTGTATTATAGGGGAAAACAAATCATAACAAGACAGCAAAACAAATTCCTAGAAAAATATGCAGTGAAAAAGACACATAAGACCACAATATTAGGTGATCTACCGTATGCTCTCTCTTGTTATTTTCCATAGTCTTGTCCACATCATCGGGCTTAATATAGTTGAACATAGTATTACCTAGCTATTTTTATAATAACACAACTTTGAAAACATTGTACGACTTGAGAGCTGTTAATAATTAATGGTATGGATATCCTTTACATCATGTCATCTTCAGAGTAGTTGCCTCTACTTTTAGGGTTGATACTATCAAGCATACCAAATTCAAATAAAATCAGCCAAGGCAAAACCGCGGTCTTATGAATCAGATTCAAATAAGATCAGTCATAGTAAGACAATATAAGTAGTACAGGATTTCAGCTCAAGTTAATAGGAAATTAAGGATAGTTACCATGGTATAACCTGCTATGTTTGGGTCAGATGTCTGTGACCTCAAATCCAATATGACTGGACAGATCAGAACAAATTAAATTCAAACTAATCAGGGTGATAAGACTACTGTGACTTTTAAATCCTGATACACTATTAACAATGACCTCTGCCTTTTTTGTAGTGTATCAAAGCTATCTATACTAAAGTCTATAGTTTGCCGTCTCTGCCTCATGTCTGCTACTCCACTTTACTGCTATAATTTGTCCACCTTACTCCCTCTTTCCACTGTCTGCCCTGTTCATTGAGGCCTCTCTGCCACTGTTGCTGGAATGCTGGTATCCCTTCCTCTCTTTCTCTGGAGTTCTTCAGCACTCTCTGTAGGGTTGGGTTGGTGGCCACAAACTCCCACAGTTCCTCCTTGTCTTGGAAGCATCTTATTTCTCCATTAATTTTGAGAGAGTTTTGATGGGTATGAGTCTTGGTTGCATATCATTTTCTTTCAGGACTTGGAATATTTCTCCCCATTCCCTTCTTGATTTAAGATTTTGTGTTGATAAGTCTGTTGTTATTTTGATAATTTTCCCGTTGTAGGTAATCTGCTTTTTTTCTCTGGCTGCTTTTAATATTCTGTTCTTTTGGTGGATTTCTGGAATCTTGATTATTATATGTCTGGGTGTAGATCTGTTTTGGTTGTAGGTAACTGGTGTTCTGTATGCCTCTTTTATCTGGATATCATTTCTTTTTGCTATACATGGGAAATCTTGCTTTAATATATCCGTGAATATTCTTTGTATTTCATTTTTGGTTGCTCCTGCTTCCTCACTCACATTCTTTATTCTTAAGTTATGTATCCTTTTGTCATCTTCTAGCCTTTGAATTGTTTCTTTCTGGTTCCTTGTTATTTTTAAGAGGTCTTTTCTTTCAAGAGCATATATGTTAAATCTCTCTTCAAGTTTCAAAAGGCTGGCTTTAGTTTCTGTCAAGGCAATTTGCCAGTGTTCAATGGAGTTTTTAGTTTACTGGTAATCTCTTTGGCTCTGTTTCATGTATTCTAAGTTATGATTAAACTCTTCTTCAGAAGTATCTCTTTCTTTTCTGATTTCCTCAGTTCTTCCATCTGTATTCTCTTGGGCAGGGCTTGTAATTTCTTTAATTAATCTCTTTGTATCTTGCCTCACTTGGATCAGGAGTACCGCTTTAAATTCATCTATGAGGTCATGGAGGTATTTTTTTTATTCCGACTGATGCTGTGTCCAGTATTGGATGATTACTGTGCTTTTTCTCTTCAGTGTTTACTTCTCCTGGACTTATTTTCTCATGTTGGGCGGCTGGAGATTTTTTTTTTTATTCCTGTCTCTTGTCATGTTTCTGGTTTCTTTCAGACTGGAGTGTTTGGGGGTCTGTGGCCCTCTCCGTATTGCTTGGAGCCTTTCAGAAGTGTGTTGACTTGTGTTTTTGCTGTCCTCCCCAATTTGCTGTTATCTGGGGTAGGCAGGGATGCAGGGACGGTACAGGCTAGCCTCCAGCCTCTGTGCCAGTCAATATGCAAATTAGGCTGTACTTTGTGGGTGTCACAGAATTGTGACTATTTTGTATCTGCTTATTGGGTCCCAACCAGAGGCTTGGTGCAGCCCCAGCAAGTCCTGCCAATTCTCTCTGTGCCAGAAACAGCTGGCTAATGTCACCATGGCACAAGGGCTCTGCCCAAATCCCAGATGTCCTCTTCCACACCTCTCTGTGCCAGGAGCGATTATGTAATGTCCCTGCGGCTGTGGGTCTGCCAAATTCCAAGATGTCCTCCACTAGTTCTCTCTATGTTGCTGATGTCAATATGGCGCTGGGCTCTGCCCACTTTCAAGATGTCCTCCACCAGACCTCTACGCCAGGGGTGACTATCTGATGTCACTGAGCTGCGTGCTCTGCCCAACTCCAAGATGTCTTCCACCAGACTCTCCGTGTTATTGATGCCGCTGTGGTGGCGGGCTCTGCCCAATTTCAAGATGTCTTCCAGCCAGCCACAGCAGCCGCAGGACCCAGTCCCCAGTATTCGCCAGGACTCAGTGCAGGTCTTCCTCTTGAGTCTATTGAACACTATGTCGCTTGCCTTCACTGCATTCCGACACAGCTCGGAACAGTCAAAAAACTGCACGGTGCCCAGCTTCAGAACTCCAGAGCTTCTTACAATCTCCTCCGGCGCAGCCAGGCAGCCCTGGCTGCTTCTCGGGGTCCCAGGTCTCAATTTCCAGCAGTCACCAAAAGCCTATACAGCTTTTCCTCTTGGGTCCACTGGTCAGTTTGCCGCATTAAAGGCATGGGATTTGCAGACTCCCATTATCAGCCATCGCACTCTCAGCATGACCTTAAATCCTCCAGCCCTGCTGTCTTGGTTAAAAAGAATCGTTATCCATTCGTCTGGCTCTCTCCATGTTGTCATATTCTAGCATCTAATATGATTTCTCCGGAGAGACTCTCTGCCCAATTCCCTAGCAAGCCGCCATTTTTGAAACTCCCCAGGCTCTCTTTTTCTTCATCCTCTACATGGGCGTCCCCAGGGCTCTGTTGCTTCTCTTCATGTCACTCACAGTTTAGGGGTGAAGTCACATGCAGTCTTATCTCAAACTAGACCACGTTCCTGAGCCCAACTTCTTAACCTGCTTGCTATCTCCTTGCCAGAGTCCCACTAGAACCACAAACTCTAGGAGCCCGAACATCAGCACGTTTTCATGGCCTTGTCCTCCCACCCCCATGCACTGCAGCCAGAAAACTGAGCGTTCTCTTGAACGCCAGTTCTGTTTTGTGCCCTCTCCCTCCATGCCATCAGTTATCAAGTTGTGTGAGGTCTTCCTTCTACATGTCCCCTTCCTGCTTCTTCACCCTACAACTATTGCAGACCCATAACCCCTGAATCCAGCAGCACCCTCTCCAACCTGTCCATTGTGTGTGCTGCCACCAGGTTGGAATTGTCTGTCTCTGTGTCTGTTTCTCTTTTCTAAAATACTCTGACCAAGTCACTCTCCTGCAGAAGCCCTTCATGTAGGTGATGACTCCCCTTTCCCTGCACTTCTCCTCCCCTTTCCTATGATATTCATCCCTCTGAAGCCCCTCCCAGATCCTCCTGGCAATTTTTTATTCAGCCTTTGACTTTTGGCTTAGGGACCAACTACCCAGTTCGGGGCACCTCGCCTACCTCCATCTGAGTGAGGCTGGACTCCTACTTGAGTCCCCAAAGTCTTTGATTCTGGAACTCAGCACTCCAGTCTGCTGAATGGTTGACCCTCTCAAAACACTGCAAAGTCCTTGGGTGGCTGCATCTAGTTCTCTGTGCCCCCATTTCCTATACCAAGCAGCAACAAGTAAATGATGTGAGCTTGCGTTCACTGCAGGCAGCCCTTCTCACTGTGACTGAGCGCTAGCAATGCTTCCTCTTACTGAGCTGGGCCTGCTGTCTTTTCCTTTCTTTTAATGCACTTGGCTCTGCCCTTGGAGCCTGACAGAAAGAATCTTTCCAGTCTACTTTCAGAGCCTTGAAGACAAATTGCCATAGCCTATCTGGGATTTCTAAGGCAGTCTTTCTCAATTCCAAAGATCATAATTAAGGAGAATCACTAGTAAATTCAATCAATAAAGTGACAAAGTTGGAAGCCGGGTATCATGGTGCACATCTATAATCCCAGCTACTCAGGAGGCTAAGAAGAAGAATCCTAAGTCTGAGGTCAACCACAGCAATTTAGATCTTGCCTCAAAATAAAATATAAAAAGGATGTAGCTCAGTGATGGAGTGCCCCCTAGGCTTGATCCCCAGTACTGAACACACGCAAAAGTAACAAAGTTGAAGTGTTTGATTTTTCTTGTAAAATGTAGTGATTTCAAGACTAACTCCAGTCCATTGTGTGCATGGTCACTGGCTTTGAGATTCAGTTTATCTGTTTAGCTCCAGGCCCCTACTTCACCTTCTGCAATGACCTCACTCCCATTTACCTGCTTTCCTGTGTAGAGAAGAGGGGCGAAGCCTTGGCTCAGAGCGAATGAGTGTTGCTGAGTGTATTGGTTGCTGAGGTGCTCGTGAATCATAGTGGTGCTTTCTTACTTTCTATAGTCAGCATTTTAATTAATGTTTTGTTTTGGTTTTTGGTCAAAGGCATGAAACTTCCACGGGACTCATGCCTTAAATGGTGGTGCTAGGGAGAAGCAGTAAGGGCTATATTTGAAACATATGCAGGTTTTTTTCTTGTTTATTTGTTTTTGGGACCGGAGATTGAACCAGGGTTTTCTATCACTGAGCTACATCACATCCCCAGCTCTTTTAATTTTCATTTTGGACAAGGTCTTGTGAAATTGCTAAAGCTGGACTCAAACCTCAACCTCCCAACTAGCTGGGATTACAGGTGTGCGCCACTGGGCCCAGCATTGCAGTTCTTGTAATCAACTCTTTGTGTGACATGATTTCATATACAGATAATTGAGAATTTCTACATATATTATCTCATTATTCTTTTACAAAGCCACAGCAATCCCTTTCTTTTTTAGAGATGAGAAACTGACATTCAGAGAGGTTAAGTGACCTGCCTATGTCACACAAGTATCAGGTAGGAGAATCTGGATTCAGATCTTCCAATGACAAGGCTGTGCTTATCTTTCGGTCCTCCAACTGCTCTCTCTCCTAGCAACCTCTCCCTTGATGGCTCCCACTGGCCTATGAGAGGCCCTGCACTATGAGTGACATCATGCACTGCTCTCAAGTGTGTGTCTTATTTCTCCAATCACACCACAGACTCTCTCCACTTACCCCACTTACATCCCCTGCAGCCCTTGACATACTAATGGCATCTACAAAGTTTCTTTGTGAGGATTAAATGAAATCTTGATGGAAGGTTCTCAGAACAGCACTGACACATTCAATTAGTGTAGCTATTGTATTTTGCAACCTTAATGATCTTAGATACTCACATTCTCTACTTTTCTATTATTCAATTAATTGCCAAGTTCATTCCCTTTCCTTTCTCCAGTCCCCTGAAGACGTTTAATCCTCCTTCAAGCCTAGTCTTCTGCCTTAATTACCAGGACTGCATCCTGAAAGTCTCTGTCCTTCCAATATTACTTCCCTGGCATCGTGCACCTTCCTTTTTGTAATGTCCATCACAGTCGTGGTGACATCTGTGACCATCTGAATTCACCCACAAAATTAAGCTGCATGAGGGAGAAGACATCTGATTCACAATTAGAGCTCCAGCTACTACCACTGTATCTAATCTATATGTTAAGTGCTCAATAAATATTTGTTTTAAAATATTTTTTCATAGAAAAGCAAAGATCACAACACACAGATTTTTTTCCTAGAAAAATGTGCTGACTTCTACATTTTCTTAAGAACAGACCATAAACTCCCAAGACTTGATGAAAGTATTCAGAGATAAAGTTTAGTCAGTGACAAAAGTCCTTATAATGGCCAGAATGAAATCTGTAATACATCCACCTGACTAAGTCATCTCCCTGTTCACTATCCTCGGGCTCTCCATAATATTCAGGATAAATTTCAAATGCTCCTCTATCCCCCTTTTGTTGTTAGGAAAATCAAGGCACCTAGGAAAGGAGACAGGGCATAGAACGTAAAGGGATAGGAGCTGGGAGCGGACAGACAAACCAAGGTGCCAGCATTTCCAGCCCGCGCTCTCTTAGCCTCAGTAGGGCTAAAGGTATGCAAGAAGCAAGAGGAGAAAGGCTTGCAGAGCTTGCCTGCCCCGTTCTGCGCAGCAAAGCTTAGTTATAAGGGACGAGAGCGGTGGGGCTGCCCTCGCACACCCCTCAGGCCTGGCTCCTTTCCCAACTTACGCCTTCTTGATCTCAGCATCCTCTGAATTGCGAGTGATGTGGAGCACAGAGTAATAATCCTGGCCCATGGCTGGCTGGCAGTGAGTTGATAGTCCTCAAACTCGCAAGGCTGTTAGTCTGCGTTCCTTGGTTGCGCCTGACAACTGCACAGGGGCACTCTGGGAGTTGTAGTCCTTTCTTCCTAAGCAAACTGCCTCCTGGACTCTAGACTAGGAACAAAAGGATTGGGAAAATTGGGTTCTGTGACCTTGGATAAATGTCATTCGGCATAGAAACCGGAGAGCCATAGAGCACTGTTTCTTTCTTTCTTTTTTTTTTTTTTTTAAGGAGGGAAAAAAGTTTTCAGAACAAGTTCAGCATTTATTTTTTTTAAACTAACTTTTTATTTTAGAAATTTTGTATTTTCAGAGAAATCTGAAGATAGTAGACAGTTTCTTTATATCCCATACCATTTTCCCAGTTAACATCTTATATTAGTGAGATAATTTGTTACAAATAACCAATGTTGATACATTATTATTGATAAATATATATGTATATACTCTTTTTTCTGTACTGGGAATTGAAGTTAGGTTCTTTGCACTAAGCTGTATCTCTAGCCCCTTAAAATTTTTTAATTTGATTTTTTTTCTCTTTTTATCGGTACTGGGGATCAAACTCATGACCACCTGCTTGCAAGGCAGGTGGTTGTGCCGCTGAGCTAAATCCCCAGCCCCCTTTAATTTTGATTTTTGTGGGGTTTTTTGTTTGTTGGTTGGTTTTTGTTTTGTTTTGTAGACAGGGTCTTGCTATCTATCTATCTAGTTCAGACTCCTTTGAATTCACTGCATGGCATGGGCTGGCTTCAAACTCACCGTGAGCCTCCTGTCTCAGCTCCCAAGTGCTCCACACTGAGCACCACATCTGGTTGTAAAGTACAGCTTCCATTAGAATGTAGCAAAGGTACACACTACCAACGTAGCTTCTCACCAAGGATGTGAATGAACCTCGATCAACTAGCTGAGGTAGTATTTGTCAGGATTTTCCACTGTTAAACTACTTTCTTCCCCCTTTTTTTGCATTACAGTGTTTGGAAAGAAATCACTGTGTGTGGTCCACTGTAAAGGTGCAGAGGGCTTAGACTCCAAAACTCTCTGACAGCAACAGAGCCCAGTTTTCCACCCATACCCCACCTCTAGTCGGTCACCAAGTTCAGTCTCTTCTACTTCCCAGATCCCTCCACACACTGTCCTGCTCTTCTCATAGCCAAGGCCTTGCTCTGGCGCCATCTTTCACAAGGCTACAACTTCCTCTCTGTCTTTCTGCCTTATCTCTACCTTGCCAAGATTATATTCAGTTCAGAGTGAAGCCCAGATGGCTTCCCCTGTGATCTGGGGTGTCCCTCTCCACCGTGCACTTGTTGTTAGGCACAGTGCACCATGGCCCTTCCCACTGCACAGACTGACCATCCTCCCTCATTCACCGCACTCCACTGCTACTTGGAACACTCCCACCATGCACCGCAAACCAGGTCTCCACTCAGTAGACTCTTGTTTATGTTTTTATACACAAGTGAATAAATATTGCCCCTGTGTGGCACTCCCTGTTTTTTATTCCCTGGCCTTTCTTTATAGTTTTACAACCTATGCCTGTATCCAGTGGTGCTCTAGTAAATGTTTCACACCCAGCTGCAACTGGCTCACCAGAAGGAAATAAAAGTCTCTTGTGAAGATTTTCCAATTTTTTTCTAAATGAGTACAAGTCAGCTCAAACACATTACTACAAGGATTTCCAATAACATTTACCTTTTCATATTTTGAATTTTACATAAATGATATTTATAAAAACAGGTATCTCTGTGTAATATATTTTTCACAAAGGGCACATTACTCTCTGTTTTGCAAGGTAATGCCAAACAGTTTCCTGATGTGATTGTTCTAACTTACACTGCCTACTGCAGCATATGTAATTGCTGCAATTATGTATGGAAGTGGAAGTGGAGAGTTCCTTTGCTACATGTTCTCACTAACTCTTGGAAGTTCTGAAATGCTTGTGAATGTAGTAGGTATAAATAGCATCTTATTCTGGATTTCAATTTGCATTTCTTGGCTGTGTCTCATATTTGTTGGGCACTTTTTCTCACTGTGAAATGCCTCCATTTTTTGTTGCATTTTCTGTTGGCCTTTTTAATTTTTATTATTGATTTGGGGCTTTTTACCTTTTCTAAAAACAAAGTTTTTGATAATATGAAATACATACTTCTTCAGTTTGAATCTTGTCTTTCCACTTTTAAAAAAAACGAAGTCAAATTTACTAATCTTTTTGTTTATACTTTTGGTGTCTAGTTATTTCACTATGTGAGGTTATAAAAATCTTCACTTATTTCACAATTGAAATCTTTTTTTTTGGTACCGGGAATCAAACTCATGACCTCACATTTGCCAGGTTGGTGCTTTTGCCAGCTGAGCTAAGTCCCCAGCTGTCGATGTCCGCTCCCGGCCGGCAGGAAGGACACACGACACAGTCTGGTAGTGGACAACCTTTTCTTTTTATTTTTCTTCTCCGTACAGCCTGCCCTGGGTTCTCCCAGCTGAAGCCTCCTTTGGTCCGCTTCCCGCGGCTCCTTTTGTGCTTCAGTCTGCCCCAAAGCCTCTACCGGTCCGCTCTCCGCGGCTCCTTTTGGGCTTCTACTTCCGGGCTTCTATCTGGCTTCTACTTCCGCCCAGGGGTGGCACCGGTATATATACGGGTACAGTGTCCAATCATGTTAAAGTAAGCAAGGCAAGCTGATTGGCTAACATCATCAGTTGCCAGGCAGACTATATTGTTGAGCGGGTTGTTTACGCGGTAAGCAGGAAACTAACATATTCGATGGGAGGGGTAATCTACCTCAGGCCTCACTCTTTACTACAGGCCTCACGTCCGCCAAGTGAGGCGACCGGGCTCGGGGCTGCGGCTCCCAACATCTCCCCCTTTTTTATTTTTTATGAATGTGCGCATCGTAGCCCTTCCTGGACTGGGTGCAGAGGCTTATGCCCTATGTGTAGGCCCACCGTAGGTCCTTGGCTTAGACCCTGGTCGGCCGTCCCATGGTCCGCCAAGGCCCTGAGGCCCTCGTCCTTTTTCTAGGGCCAGGCACAAACTGGACGGAACCTGGATGCACACAAGCTTGCACTCATTTCCTCTCCGTAAAGAAATCCCCTCGGAGAGAAATTTAGACCTGGGCAGCATCTAACAGTCCAGCGGCTTACGTGCAGGATGGGGTAGGGCCTGGCTTAGGTCGAGTCGTGCTGGGGAGGCACGCTCTTACCCGTCATTGACTCATCTACCCTGCTATATCATAATTTTTTAGAGGAGGAGTGTGGGAAGCTCACCGTCCCTAGACTCGGTCGTAGGCTAGGCGAGCGAGCCATGCATATGCCTGAGGATCTTCTTGTCCATTTCGGGCTACCGCTATTTTTATTTATCTTATTGGTTGGTCTGTGATGGATCTCCGGTAGGGCAGGTCTGATCTTCAGTCGAGGGCTTTGTCGCCCGTGTCAGTCTCTCCGGTATCCACAGTGGTTCTCGTACCGATTCCTGTGGGAAAACACAAACTGCGCCTCGGTTCCAGCTGACCACTGGATCCGGGCCCATCCATTGTCCTGTCAGGACATCTTTCCACTTCACCCACCCTTTATGGTTGGGGGAAGGGTTGCAGTGCTCCACAGCTGGGGAGCGATTATCATTATTTAAATTTAAAAAATTGTGTGTGAATAGTGCCATGGATAATCGTGCCTTTGGGGCCAGGCCTTGGCCTACTCCCCCTTTTTGTTTTTGTAAAATTTCTTTGAGGCTTCTATGAGCCCTCTCAATGATTCCTTGACCTTGGGGATTGTATGGGATACCATGTTTTAATTGAACCTCCATCATTTTGCAGAACTCATTGAAGGCTTTGCCTATATAGGCTGGTCCATTATCAGTTTTTAATATTTTTGGTTTGCCCCATGCGGCCCAAGCTGCCAGGCAATGATTGATCACATTAGACACTTTTTCACCTGTTTCTGCTGTTGCAAATATGATGCGAGAACAGGTGTCTGTGGAAACATGAACATATTTAAGAGTCCCAAACTCCTGTATATGTGTGATGTCCATCTGCCAAACATCACCAGGGATCAAACCTCGAGGGTTTACTCCCATCGGTATGGCAGGTTTGTATGTGGCACAGGAGTCACATAGTCGCACGATATCTCGTGCATCTGCTCTAGAAACATGGAAATGGTTTGCTAGTGTCCTGGCATTGACATGAAACTTATCATGGAAGGCACGGGCTCGCTCGATTGGTGTTAGTAAGGTAAAAATCCATAACGGGCGAGTGGCAGTGTCAGCAGCCACATTCCCCTGTGCCATGGGCCCTGGCAGGGATGTATGTGCTCTTATGTGGGTGGTGAAGACCTTATGGTGTCTGTTCTGAAGCAATGTCTGGATAGACAGGAACAGTCCAGCCACTGTGGAAGTGGATCTAATTAAACTGGCAGTCTCAAGCACTTGCATAGCATTGACCACATACCTAGAATCGGAGACAATGTTAATGGCTTCTGAGAACCGTTCAAGAATCATTTTAACGATCTGCAGTTCCACCACCTGAGGCTGATCTGGTTCAAATTGTATGGTAACCGGGGGCTTGCCTAGGATCACATAGGCGCCTATCCCCGTCTTGGAGCCATCTGTGTATATTGTAGTTGCTAGGACTAATGGCTCAGAGGCAGTAACCTTTGGAAAAATTATAGGGTGCTGAGTGACAAATGACAAGATAGGGTCTTTAGGGTATTGATTGTTTATATCCCCATGGAAAACACATCTCAGAATGGCCCAAGTATCTATGCAGGCAGCCAGGGTCTTGATCTGGCTGGCGGTATAGGGTACTCGGATGGCTTGTGGTCCTGAGCCAAAATGTTGGACAGCTCTATCATGCGCTTCAAGGGCCAATGAAGCGACTGCCTCCGGGTAATGCTCTATGACTTTTGCAGGTGAGACCTTAGGGTGTATCCACAGTAGTGGTCCTTTCTGCCAAATCACCGCTGTGGGCTGTAGACTAGTCTGTAGCAAACAGACATCAAAGGGTCGCCCTGGTTCAATTCTGTGTAAGGTAGCCCCACCTAAGGCTTTTTCCACTCTCTGTAAGG